TGCTCAACTGCATTGCTACAAAGGGTACTCGTGACTCGTTACTTTAGTCCAGGTTTAATCTTTCTTGTCTCTTGTAACGCCAGTCGATACATTTGTTTCTAATTCTTTTCAATCAGTTAGTATTATCAAATTCTATTTTCTAATATCGGGTATGCTCGATGAGCATTCGTTTCTTCAACCTAGATTTCAGAATTGCATGAAATCTAATGAGATTAAAGTATTTATAACATTATAATGAACTATTGCTTGCGGGGTAAAATATAGTCTAAATTAATGTTAAAACGTCACGTGTCAATCGTATGTAACGAACATGTTAAGTGATTGTTATTTATTCACCGTCGTAACCGCTTCTCTAATGTGAACCAGTGAAATATTCAGTCTGATCTCCAATCTGGAAAATCGAATCCAAAGTTAGAAATGAAGCCGAACCTTGAATAGCAAACTGCATGTAATATACACGCTGTAGGATAAAGAGTCAATCCTCCGTGCTGAAAGGCATTCGCGAGTCTCCGCGATCGTTTCGACATTAGAAAAAAAAAAAGCGATGAGTAATCTGTAGTAAAATCCGTCGGCGGAATCGAGTGACATAAACTGCGTCGTACATGGTCGCTTTATAGTCTCGTAATTTTCATCGTAACCACGGCGGAACGAACGCGGTGCCGCCGATGTCCTTCTGACCGATCTTCTTGAACGACAGACGGAGAAAGAGACGCCTGCTCTAGGGGGGGAGGATGACCAGGCACACCCCCATGCAACTCGGGGACGCGTCGGTCGGAGGGACGAGGAACGAGAAAAAGAACGAGAGAGTCCTTGGAGTGGCGCGAACTATTAAAAAGCGCGCGTCCGCTCAAATTCTCGCCGGTAGTAAATTACCCAAAAAAAGGAACAACCGTTGAATTCGACCACTCTCCCGCCTCTGTCACCCTGCCGCTCGGTTTTTAAACCCTTTCTCCTCCTCCCCCGCTCGGCTCCTCCTTTTCTAAAGGCCTGGTTTCCTTCTCTCCTCGCGGAGTTGCCAGCCCCCTTTCCCTCGGTCCAAGTGTGGCTCGCTCGCTCGCTCGAGAGATCGTCGGTCTCTCTTTTCTAGGATAAAAACCCTCTCGACGAGGAGTCGAGCCGCGGTCTCAGATAAAAAATTAGCCGGAGTTGCAAACGTTTCCACCTTAAATCATATATTTATCGCGACATTAATTCAACCCTTTTAGGTACCCTTTTTTCCTGGCGGTCCACTCCGCACCCGTGGACCGAAACGCCTCCGCTCGAGCTCTCCACAACCCCCTCCGTTCCCTCCTATCAGCCTTCCTCTCTCTCTTTCTCTCTCTTTTTCCACATCCTGTCGTCGCTCCATCTCCCTTCTTCGCACTCGTGCCACTGCTAGTCCACGAAGACCAACGACGACGGTCCCGTTAGTCCTTCGCCGCTAATTTCTCAGATTCGAGTATTTTTGTGTACCGTCGCGCGCGAACCTGACGGGGGTAAATCCTCTCGTTTATTATTTAGAAGGGGCGTATGAACAGCGGACGATGTGTACACGTGTGGAGAAAGGGTGGTCAGGACTTGTGCCGCGCACACAGACGAAGGCCGTTTACCTTGTCCTTCTCTCCTTTTTGATGGGGATATACGATTTCGTTATCTCTTCTTACTTCGACTCCCGGCGATTATCCTTCTTTACGGTCGGTTTGCTCGATCGTACACCACCTCTCCACCGTGGACTACTCGTACTCGCCGGTTCTCGTGAACGGTGTGTCGAGATCCATTCTTAAACCCGCGTGTCGCGTCTGGATCCTTACCTTCCGATTTTTTGTACCTCGTTCGTTGTTTGGCTTAAGCTACGCACCCCTCTGTCTCGCTAATTGTTAAAAAAGGATCGTTTCCCTTATCTTTGACGAATTACGCGCTCTCTGCCCGTGATATTTTCATCCTTCTACCCAAGGGAATAATAAAAATTGAGAAAGTTTGAAAATTATACGATCACTTTGTGACGTATGTTACAATAGAGAGCCATGCCCATGCTCGCGCAGCGTGACGTAATCAAACACCATCGAATCCATGAGAGCGCATTACTCACAATGAAATAGGAAACGAGACGTATGTACCCTGAACCCCCCAGCGCAACGGCTGTTTACTTAATAAATACATATTTAGTATATGCCACGTACACAAGTCTGGCGAGGCCGGCTGCGCCTATTTTTGCCCAAAGTTTTGTTATCATAGGACCAGGCGATGGGTCACGGCACCCCATTCGGTTGCCGAACACCACCATTCGGTTACGAAATACACCGAACTGTTTCGACAATAGGAACGGCTAAAGCCGAGGATTTGCCTCGAACAGAGCTTCGACGAGACTACTGTCTGATGATATAAAGTCGTGTAATTTTTCTTCGTCACGTTTTTTTTTTCTTTTTCTTTTTCTTTTCTTTTCTTTTTTGCCCCACGTGTATAAAGGTGAAAGTGGAGTTTCGAAGTTTTAGAAAGGGTCGTATTAATTTTCATGATTTTTACTCGGTAATTTGTCTCTTCTTTATTTTTCCGTATCACGTCGTCCAGTGTGACAGGAACGGAGTAATTCTCGACATCATCAGCGGAAAATTTTTGAAAGCGTGGCTGTACCAATTGTTCGCTTGAAATACGAGTGAAAGGAATATTTAAGGACACGCCGTTTCGAGGAATATTTCGTCCCCTATTTCCGGTTCGCCTATACAAACTCGAGCCGGTGGTTCAGGTTGCGTCAGACAACACGTGTACACACGTATTTACGGAGCAACAGTGTGTTGCGCGACCACCTCCTCGCGTCCATACACATCCAGTCGGCTAAATAGCGGAATATTCATAATTTATTAGTAAGTTCGTAGATCGAATGGCTGAAATGTGCCTGACAAAGTCACAGTCGACTTACTCTTCAGTTGTTTTCTCGAGAAATACCTGTTCGTTAGACGCACGGTGCTAACGACTCATTTCCTAACGTATTTAACTTCCTTTTACATCATTCCTGTACGTACGTACGTACGTACGTACGTATGGAGGAAGTCGAAAAATTTTCCACAGTATTGTCCAACAATTGAAGAACATGATCGATCGTGGTCGCGGAACGTGATCCTTCTTCATTCTTCATTCTTCTCGCGTCAATCGCTGTCCCAAATATTGGAGTAGTTTGACTTCCCAGGAATCGCGTTGCCTTCAATTCTCATCCGCGCGCGAGACAACTCCGGAAACCACATGCTTCTTCGCTCCAAAGCGCAACACCCTTGCGACAGAAAAATCGCGAACAGCCGCTTGCCAAACAACCGTGCGACGATGTGTAATGTTCGAGCTGAGACGAGCATATGGGACGAGAAGAGCAGAAGGCAAAGAGTGAGAGAATGTGTGCGTATGTGAGAGAGAGAGAAAGAGTAAAGGCACAGGCCAAGCAAGCTAAGCCGAGGCAGCCAGTCAGCCACACAGAGCCACGGTATACAACGTGCCTCGTATATGATGTACTGGTTTGCCTGGCGGCAGTGGGGTCAGGGACGTGACGAAGGGTGGGTGTTACGGTGGAGCGAGAGGGGCCACAGTCTTCAGACACGATTGTGGGGATAGGGGAGGAGGACAGAGAGGCCGCGATAAGTGGGGAGGGAGAGATGCCGACAGAGAAGGTAGGGCACACAAGAGTAGAAGACGGCGTGACAGGGGAGAGAAGGGAGAGCTGAAAGCAGGCCTGTTGGTTGGTTTCAACTATATTTGTTTATATTTACACAATAAGCAACAGCCTCGCCGGTTGGGCTGCTTGGTATGCCTGTGCCGCTTTTAGTGTTTAGTCCTCGCTACTCGGTCGCTGCGTGAACGTTGCTTTTCGTCTTCTTTACGTGCGTCGTGCTCGTTTCTTCCTCTCCTCTCCCTCTCCACCTCTTCCGGCGTTTCTTCTTCTTTTCTCTTCTTTCACGCGCATTCGTCACGCCGGTTTCTTCCTTGTCATCCTCGTGCACCGTTCGTCTTCCCTCTTCCTTTTTTTTTTTCCCCCCTCATAGTCTGTGCACGCACGAACTCCGTTTTGACGGCTCGTTGTTCGCGTCCACGTGTGTACTCCATATACGCATTTTCCGAGCGTGTTTTTCCCACCCCACGTGTGTCAGCCTCGTGGACGAGGTCGATGTCGCGGTTTTTTTTCTGGGTTAAAGAACCCAATTTGTTGAGAACTTTTCGGAGCAACGATTAACGGAGCATCGCCGATTCGCGTGATTGTCGTGCGCCAGCTGGAGGATCAGCGTACTTCCGGTATGGCTGAGGACACTGTGTACTCGGTTCTATTCGCGAATGGTGTCCGTGTGTGATCACTCTCGAGCGTTTCTCCTTCGTGTTGCACGAAAAAAAGTGTTAATCGCGCGAAGAACATTCGTCTTGCCAGCAAGACATTCCAGAGTACACTTCCATGAATTCCAAACTGGCTGTCGTACAGCTGAAATTGGGGACCAAGGTCTTCTCTTAAAGTAAGCGAGCCTTTCGGAATCGAATATTTTTGTTTATAAAGGGCACGCGAAAAATAGGAGTGTTGCGCTATCGTACACGTTGACTGCTGCTCGCGTGAGAATGCAAACGATAGGATATATTATTAGGCGGTTCGTTGGTGTGTGTACGTGTGTGGCCCGCGAGAGCTAAATATTGTTGCCTTTGCCTCGAGTGTATGGAATCACACGCGTCAAACGTGATCTAAAATTGTTCCTGCGACGAGGGTATAACAAAGAACACATTCTCAAGACCTTCGTAGAGTCCGGCGATCCTTCTTCTCTCTTTCGTCTTCCCTCCGTCCCGGAAACTCGAAACTTTCGTGCTTCGCGAGTGGGGGAACATCTCTTCGACCGATAGCAGCGATCAACGTTGCTACCGGTCGAGAAATTTCACGATGTGACGCAATAACCGAGATACATACCGTATCGCGAGAGAACGACGAGCTTAACGACGAAGTTCAGTGCACCAAAGGAGCACCAAAGGCACTCCGATTGACGTAACGATGATCGTGATTTCAGGACGATGGCATAATGGATCATGACACAGACGGAGACGGCGCGATCAACTTGTCAACGTCACAGCGACCCTCCGCCGCCACCACCCCTAACGGTGACACCCCCTCGTACGGACAAGATCAACAAGACAACGACCAGGTAAGGAATTAATCTCTGGAAATTTGCTTTCGATAAGATAACCGCGTCGTTTTCTTTTTTTTTTTTTCTTCTTCTCTTTCTTCTCTTTCTTCTGTCCATGAAAGAACGCTCACTTTTACACAGCGGTTTTACACAGGAATTATTTATTTCATTCGCGCCGACGCGAAGATATTATTTTCGGATCACTATGTCCGATCGATATACAAACGTACCTCTTAGATCGTGTTTCTTCCTTTTGTGAAATTTGCGCGGAACGCGGAGATTGGGTTATTAATAACCGACGACATCACTCCGTAAATAGCACTAATTTTAGAGGCAAACATCTGCTTAAGAACGATAAAGAAGAGCTCGCTCGGCAAGATGTCCGGCCTAGACTCATTGATTTCTCGGAATCGAGAAATCTAGAGGCGATAAGACTCGAGACTACGATCCATCCCGTATCTCTCTATCCTACGAGTCTCGTAGGGAATCGAAAACGAGATTGAACCGATTGAACCGTTTGAACCGCCGCGCCGCGTTTCGATACACACTCGCCAGGAAACGAGTAAACCGATAACGATCCTCTACACGTCCGTGTGGAGGGTTTCCACGTTCGAGCGATGGTACTCCCTTCTATCGCGCGTGGTATAACCGTCTTCGAGCCGCGGTACTTGCGACGCGTTTGACACCCAGCCACCATAAAATCGAGCCCCCTGATTTCAAATTCAATTCGAAGTCCCGCGTTTCGCGGCTGAACGCAATATAGCGTTACGGATGGTGGCACGAGCGCCACTGAGGGAAACAAATGTTTTCCGGCCTTTAAAGCGGCCTTTTTGACGGTTTCCTTTTCGAATAGAGGGATGAATACACCTTCAGGTCAGCTATACACTTGCCTTGTGAAGTACGTGTGTGTGTGTGTGTGTGTATCAGTCGATTTTTGGAAGTCTTTTAGGTCGCAAGTATAAAGAAAATATCATAATGTATAAATAATTCCTTATTTTGAATTATTTGTTGCGCTTTCTACTCTCGCTCGGTCCTCTTTCTTGTCAATATTTTATTTTTATTTGACGGCTAAGACCATGGAGTATAAAATACATAAAAAGAATCGATAACGTGATATAATGGCGGACGGAGGAAAGTTTGAAATTGAAATTTTATATGTATATAAATAAAATTTGTATTGAGTATTTCCCTATTCTGAGGCACGTAATTATATTATACATTCATTTCTCTTGTCAGTCACAATTCAGCGTTTTGTTTTTTTTTTTAATTTTGATCGTTACTGCATATAATCGAGGAAAGCATAACAATAAATGACACGACATAGTAAATTTTTCCTCCACCCAGTTTATTAGCAGAAATAGACGTACAATGTGAATCCGTAGAAACTAAAGGGTGAAATAATTTGCATAAAATACACAGCGGAAATCAGCCCGAAAAAAGCTGATTTCTTAGAGAATATTAGATAGCAATTTCTTCTTTTTCATCGATCGTCATTCAGTAGTATTATTTTCTTCTTTTTTCTCCATATTTTTTCACATTCGTTTTACCACTAGCAATCAACACATTTCTGACTTCTGGTTTCACCCTATTCGTGCGTTAGATCGATCGATAAGTCTCCTTTCATCGATAACGGCCACCGGTGGGAATAAATTATTTTAATAATCGCACGGGACACATTAGCCGCGGTATTTTTATTTGTACACCGCGTTTACGCGAGCGTATGCGTAGATAGTAACGGTGAATATCAAGTTCACGTGACGCACCAGGTAAATACGTGTGTACCACCACGGGCCTGTGAATTACACGTGCGACACGTACATCTGCTCGCCTGTTGGTTACGTGTAAACAGAGATTCGCTTATCGTCAAGCTGACACGTATACATAAGTGTACCGAGGAGAGAGACGGCGAGAGAGGGAGAGAGAGAGAGAGAAGGATATTTTTTTGGGATTATTTTAACGACACATTGGTCTACTTTCGCGACGCTTTCCCAGTTTAATCTGCCACGAAATATATTTTTGATTCTCTGAACGATAAAGGAGCCAGTTAATTCATTTCGCAGAGAAGCATTTATAATATTTAAATTTATTGTGCAATTTATGGATTAATGACGATTTATCTTATTTTGACTGAAATTCGACTTAGATTCTTTCGACTGAAATTTTGACTCACATTTTTTTGTCATGTTCGTTGGAGATAAATTATTGCGACGACGTAATTAAGCCATTAACATTTGTTCGCTTGTAACAACGTGCTTGAGCGACGATCAAATCATATTGTTGCGCTGGTTGGTAAACAATAGTGTTAGGTTCGACAATGGTTGTGTATAGACGGCAAAGGTCTTTTGGACAGCGCGTGAGATTCGAGACGATTCGAAGATCGAGTTTTGAGAAACTATCAAGTTCTGCTGACCACTCGCCAGCTCGACCGCGACTTCCTGCCCTCCTCCATTGTCCCATAGACGGGACCAGTCTTGCTTGCTGGCCATCGTAACTTTAACGCCAGCGCTGACGTTCCAATTTGTCGACTCTGCTAATGCCTTCGATTGTTTTCTTCAGTCAGTTATTTGCAATTATCAGCAACCATTGTATTCTTGTTATCGAACGGTCTGTTTATTTCGTCATTGAGATTTGGTTCGTCGTTTAAATTTTCATTCTTTGGTCAGCGAAAGTAGTACGGCTGTTCAACAGGCATACAGAATAAATTTTCAGTAGTTACTATTGATCAGTAAAGCGTATTCTGCAAAAAGTATTTGCACGTCATTCTACTTGTTGTATCATCTACGTAATTAATCAGTAGAACGTTATCGGATAACGATAAAAATTTGAAATCAAAGTAATTAAAATAAATACTGGTGATATACCTTTTGTAGCTGCTGTGAGTCGATCGAAGGGAATACACGACCGTGCTCCATTATCCTTTCTTCGAAATTAATGAGCTAGTGTTCACACGAAACTGAGATCTTGGCTGTCGCGAGGACCAGCCAGCTCAAGTTTCTGCGGTCTCTCGCAGTCGATCGAAGTCCTCGCACGCTCTGTTTATAATTTAAGGGGTTCCCCTGACTAAAGGGTTACTCGCAAGGATTCGAGCGACGTCATTGGAGACCTGGAGATCCTCGAAGACACGGGAATTTCATCGACGGGAGTTTCGCGATACGACACTGGGAAAACGGGGAACACAGACAGGCAATAACCCGCGGCAGGCAGTCCGAGGAAGAAAAGTCAAAAGTTGTATTTGCGGCTTCCATTAACGGATTAACTAAGATCAAATAAGATATTCGTTAATAATGCAGTTGTCAATTTTGTGATCGGGACAGCGCGCTTTCGTTTGACCCGTGGAAAATAAAATGCCTCGACCTGTATCCGTTTTGATGGAACGCCGTGGTTAAACTCGGTGAAGACGAATACGTCGATTGTGTGTTAATATTAGCTTGATAATCGATATCGCGAATATTCAGCGATCGTTGGACAAGAACTGGACAAAAAATAGAATTCGATAAATTGCGTTCTCTGTCACCTCGGTTTCGTACTTTGTCAAATTTATACTCTGCAATATCCGTTGCAAAGCAAGACTGTAGTACTAAATAGATCGCAGCGCAGTGTGTAGCAGTTTCGAAGAAAGAAGGGAAAGTCGCTGGGAGAGCGAACGCGTTAAAAACGTGACGGAGCTTTCTCTCGTCGGAATTCGCGATCACGATGCCCGGTATTCCGTTGATTAAACAAACTTCCGTCGGTGTCGATATTTCATTAGAATCCCCGGGGTCGTTTATCCGAACGGTTAATATCCAAACGGGACGTCGCGGCGAAGCGACGAGCAAGAATCCAAAGGATCCGGCCGGATAAGAGACCAGCGCCGCGGGTATTGACGAGGTGGTTCTTTCTCTCCTTCCTTGAAATGCAAAAAGGGGTCGCGCGGTGGCTGTGCGGCGGAGAGGGGGGATGCTTCGCGGGTAAAGAGAAACGTTGGGCTGAAAAATAGACGAAGAGAGGGAATGAGATGAAGAAAAGGTGAAGAAAAGGGAGAAAGAAAGAAGGTCTCGATGAAAGACAAGCGGAGTTCTCACCTCCGATTCCCCTCTTTCGGCTCGCAAATTGCGGATAGGCTGTCCTTTCCAATCAAGCCTCTGTTCGGCATCCCACACCCGTTTCCTCCTACTCCTCCTCCTCCTTCAATCCTCCCCCCGCGCTCTTTTTGCTGTCCAATTCTTCTTCCCCCTTCCTACGGGGTTCCGTTATACTTTTCCACCCTCTTTGCGCTACCACCCCCGTGGTAGTATTCGAGTGCCTGCCTATAACCAGGCTGCAGCCTGATCCTCGCATCCTCGCGCTTCTCCTTCGCTCGTTCCCTCTTCCTCTCGGGCTCGAGCCAACCCGAATCCCCGTCGTCGTAACTTTTACGTAACACGCTTTGCTATGAATATCGATGCCCGGGGAATTAAGGAGAACTCGCTTTTCTGTAATTGAAAGAATTTTTGTCGTGCTGAGCCAGCTGGCCTGCGCATAAAAGCTCTCCTTCGTTTCCACGTTCGCCGATCTTCTTCCTGCTGTCGGTCTTTTTTATCTTCTTCATTTCTCCTCTCCCCCTCCCCCTTCCCTTCTCTCTCTCTCTCTCTCTCTCTCTCTCTCTCTCTCTGTCTCTTCTTTTCTAGTCGGAAGCGAAGACTTTTTCCCTGGCCGCGCGAGCACCGGCGTCAGATGACGACGGTGACGAGGATTTTAATAAATTACTGAAACCAGTCCGCTGACTGGTGACTTCTTCTTCCGCGAGTCGCTCGTCGCGCGAACGGGATATTCTTATTTCATTTCTCGCTTACTTTCAGCCAGGGAAACGTGCAATTTTCCGACAGATCGCTGCGCGCCTTCCTCTTCGTCTTTGAAATTAATGAATTCTTTTTCTCCGTTTTCTTCCGTGAACCACGCAACAACGGCGCAAATTTCTATCCACCTCCGCAGAGCCGTTCATTTCAATCCGAGTGCTAATCTAACAAATTGTAATCAAGCATTACTTTACCCTCGGTGGA